AAAAAAATGACGGATTTTAAATTAGTATAAGTATAGTTATCGCAGGAATTAGAATGAAAAAAAAAAAATATTTGAAAAAATGGCACGTAGTTAAAAGTAACAATCTGAAACTCGTTCTCAGAAAATACAAATCTAAAACTCGTTTTCAGAAAATACTTTTAACTACGCGCCATTTTTTCAAATATTTTTTTTTTTCATTCTAATTCCTGCGATAACTATACTTATACTAATTTAAAATCCGTCATTTTTTTTAATTTCAAATCAGAGGTAAAGATCAATCAACCCCCGCCAGTCAGGTCCATTTTTTTTTGGAGAGGCGGACTTCAGCGCCATTTTTTTTATTTAAAAAAAAATTTTTTTTCGTCTTAATTTTCATTATTGTGTAGTTGATAAGCAATAGAATAAGTGTAAAAAAATTTGAAAGGATTAGTTATTACCTTCATATAGATATAAAATTTTTAAAATAGCTTAAATTTTAGACCGCTAGACCACCCGTTCCCCTTAATAGACCAAAATCAACCGGGAAAATTTTTCAATTTGTGTTTTTGTTTATTATTATTTTGATCAAATATTGTTATTTTTATTGATTTAAGTTTTATAATTTTTTATATTTCGAATAAAATTGTATTTTCCCTGAAAAATTTCCCAAAAAGATGATTATACCAAAAAATTAACTTAAATCGTGTAGAGGCACGTGTTGTTTTGAATAAAAAAAAAAAAAAAAAATTTTCCCAGTGTTTTTCCATCAAAAAGAAGCTCTCTAAGGGGCGCCGCAAAAAATTTAATTTTTAACAACCAGCCTAATATATATAGTATAATATATGAAATATATAAAAAATTGATGTGGGTACTCAAATGAAAGGTCTCAATGAGTGTAATGTCGGGGTGATCTTATATCTTTAAAAATGTCAATAGTTCATAAGATACAAGAGCATTTCTTAATTATGTATCTAGAGATAGAGCATTTTCGACTGCAGCCTAAATATTTATCATAATAAATTGACTATTGGTGAAAATGATATGAAACCTTGAAAAGACACAAATCAAGTCAAGACCTTTCCAACGATACCAAATTTAACCGTAATAACCTATTTTATCATATAAATCCACTGGTCACAAAATTTTCCTTATTCTTCTAATACTATAGATTATAATTTTATGAATTAAAATTGTTAACGATTTATTTTTTTTAATAGTTTCTCATATATGAACGTTCTCAATGACTTAATTAATTAATTAATTGATTATTAGTCCTTAATTTAATTATAATTAATATTTATCAATTATCAGGAATAATAACATAATTTTAATAATTGTTTAGATTCCGTATGGTAGTACATCGACATTCCAATTTCAATGGAATAGAACGCACTGATATAATTTATTAATATAAAATACTTATGATCGGATTTATTATTTAAAATTTTTAAACGAAAAAAGTAATGTAACAGAACAATGAATTTATTGACGTCTACTGGAATTTATTTCGTACTTTATTTTATACTTTTTAATTATTTTTGCCACTATTAAATAGGAAAAAAAAAATACATATATCGATGCAAAGGTAAAAGATATAATAATGTAAATATAATTAACTTATAAATTGATTGATTGACTGATAAATCGATCAAATAAATAACCTGTAAGATACTTTTAATAAAAGTATCGTATGTTGCAGCTATATGTGTGTATCGTGTACAGAATTAAAGTTAAAAAATAAAAGCAAGGATTTATATACTTATAAAAAATATAAATGAAGAATAAAGACTACTTTAATGTAATTCACATTCTTATTTATTCATTGATACAATCTTATCTCACCTCTTATGTCTGTTTTTTTTTTTTTTTTTTGTTATACAGGTGAATATTTAAATTTGTTTATCAATTAACTACAGTAGTAAATATATTTGGATTACATACTTAACATATTTGCAAATTTGCTAATTATTTTTCATTAATTATTTCAGGACGTAGGTTGATTATTTACCAGCGTTGTTCATATTTTTTGGCAATCCGAGCAGTGAATTTATTAACTCCGAGTTGCGTTTTGGGTGACACATACCTCGTGGGTATGATAGCAATAGTCTGGCTAATTGCACTTGCTCACTATCCTGTAAATAATAAATTAAAAATTTCATGTGATTTTTTGTATAAAAAAAAAGGTAATTACCATTCCTCGCCCGTACGGAAAATTAGCCGCTATTTCTCGATCCATGTCTTCAATTGTCGCGTCAGTAGAGTTTATAATTAACAAAAACACAGTTAATATTAAAATATTAGCTGTTATTTTACTTGCGTGAATCATTTTTCTGCAAAAAAAAAATTATCTAATTAATTGGCTGTTATTTATTTATTGCATTAAAAATTACATTTGTTTTTAGCAAGAAAAAGCAATATACACAGTCAAAAGAAGTAAAAACATAAATGTACATCTCTGTGCGTAAAATATAATAACAATTCATGCAATAAATAATTAAAAAAAAAAAAAAAAAAATTAATTGGCTGCTATTTATAAGAAATCTTTAAAAATTTTGTTTTACTTGAAAATTTAACTTGGTTTTTTATTTTTTTTATACGCCGAGTCAAAAATTTAAGAAGAAGCAAGTAAAGACTATTAATTCTTAATCTTTTGTTATTAATTATTAAAACATAAGGAAAAAATAATAAATGAATTTAAATAGAGAACTTTATGCTTAGGAAGCTCAAAGACAACTTCGGATTTTCCATAAATTATCTTGGATTTTATACTACCCGCTGACGTCACAAAATCTGTCAAAGACACTCGACTTTTATGAAATCTGCAGATGAAGACATTTTCAAGGAGTATATATCTTGATATTTTTCGAGTACGCTCTATTTGTTTGAATCTTTTATTTTTTAAATAGTGATCGAAATTATGGAATATTATTTTATTAAAAAATTTAAACAATAAAAATTGAAAAAAAAAAAAAAACAATTTTTATTATTAATTAAAAATTTTATTTAAAATAAAAATGAATAGTTTTAAGGAAAAAAAATTTTTTCAACTAATAAAATCCACGGGTTGTAAAAAAATTCTAACAGGATGATAACTCAAGGGAATCTTTTTTCTTATTCAGCACTTATGGCCCCGGTGCAGATCACTAGGAGTCCCAAAACCTGATTTGGCAAGAACAAACCAAGCTATCCGGTTCGGGGTCCCGGGCCCACGATGTCACTAATTTAGCCGAGATGTCACCGGTTGGCATCGGACGTTCAACCTCAGTTGAGCCTCTGGAGATTTTGAACACTCTCGATAACAGATCGAGATATCTAATGACAAATAATTTAAGGCCTTTTTTAGAGCCAGCGGATCTTTATACCATTAAATTTAAGTACCAAATTTAAAACCGGCGAACAAAATAAAAACCAAAAGAAAAAAACCTGCTCCAGTTTGACCTGACTGGGCCTTGAACCAACTTTTACGATACAATTTTAGACTGATACTCTGCTCCTCCGAGGGATTGTCAACTCTCACTCTTTTTTCTAGTCAATCAACCCGGTTTCGCTTACACGTCTTTTTTTAATTCTCATCGCTGATTTATTATTCATAACATTCATTCATATCTCCAATTTTAATTTTATGAACCAAAAACTTTTTAATCAATCACTTGATAAATGAATAAAAAAAATAATTTATGAAATAAAAGTACTCTGACTGACCCTTTGCTCATAATTCTTAAAAATTAACATAAAATCAGAATTTTAAATTTTATATTATAAATAGAATTAATATCTAATCTGTCGGAAGCTTCTGTTACATTAATTTACGATAAATAATTAATTTAATAAATAAAACTAGCAACCTTGCAGTCACTATGTGACTGTCGGGACTTGTGAACTATAAATAAATAAAATTTTGCGTTATTAAATAATGACTTTTGTTAAATTGCACTGTACTTTCTTCACTATTGACGTTTTTAAAGATATAAGCTCATCCCCATGTTACACTTATCAGGAGCTTTCATTTGAGTACCCACATGTCATTTTGATATATTTTTCATATATACATTTTTGTGATATATATATAAATATATGAAAAATTGATGTGGGTACTCAAATGAAAGGTCTCGATGAGCGCTACATCGGGATGAACTTATATCTTTAAAAATGTCAATAGTTCACAAGATACAAGGTCATTTCTTAATTATTGTTATTTTTTAAGATATTAACTCATTTTGATGTTACACTCATTGAGACCTTTCATTTGAGTACCCACATGTCATTTTGATATATTTTTCATATATACATTTATGTGATATATATAAATACATGAAATATATGAAAAATTGATGTGGGTACTCAAATGAAAGGTCTCGATGAGTGTAACATCGGGATGAGCTTATATCTTTAAAAATGTCAATAGTTCACAAGATAAAAGGTCATTTCTTAATTATGTATCTAGAGATAGAGCATTTTCGAAATCAGCCGAAATACTTATCATTATAAATTCACTATTGGTAGGAATGATATGAAACCTTGAAAAGGCACAACTCCAGGTCACGACCTTTCTAATGATACCAAATTTAACCATAAAAACCCATTTTATCATATAAATACACTGGCTACAAAGTTTTTCTTATTCTATTAATAATATAGATTAATCCCAAAGATATTGAGACAAAGACCTCAAAAAGATAATTACAAAGTATCATCCTTAAATTAAGCGCGTCTAACTAAATAGTCGCATACTGACATTGAAATAATTTTATTACAGCAATAAGTATTTAAATAAAATCATTGACATGTAAACAATCCTAATTGTAAATAACAATAACATCAAGGTCCTGATTAGTATTTATACTCGACAGGAAATTGTAATAAATATTTTATACATATTCAAATGTCATTGATCAATTTTTTTTATTTTATATCAGTATAAAATTTCTCGGAGAAAATAATAAAAACTTTCGAGTCTAAAAATATTAATATAGTAAATTTAGCCGTCTAAAATTTTTTTAATTTTTCTAAAAATAAATCTGTTGAGATTTTTTCATTTTTTTTAATCGCAGAATTTTGATTTTTTCTTACCTTGATATCAATCTAAAGTGATATTAATATTGTAAATAAGGACGTAATAAATCAAATTTTTTTCAAAGGGCCCATCTTGCCCCTGGACCTAAAATCTACATGAAAATTAATGTTTGCGGATATAATACTTCTCAACATAATACTTTACTAAAAAAAAAAATTAATTTATGGAAGATGATGTAACAAAAAAAAAAAGTAATCGTGTAGTTTCGCGGGCGAAATAAATTGAGCGTATTTTTTTATCAGTACTTATGATAAATTAACGGGGATTACCACGTTAATAGCTTTCTCATGTCCATTTGTATGACGTATTTGTCAATAGCTGTCCTAACGAGCAAATACTAACGAATTTCCAAATTTCTCAAGTACAATTGTATTAATAATATTCTAATAAAAATATTACACAAGCCTTAAAAGTTAAAAGTCTCTTTCAACCACTTAATACTTTGCGAAAGTACCCGAAAGGCTTATGAGCATAGATATATTCCCTATCACTAAGTACCTAAATGTCCAAGCATAGAATCCATTTAGATTACCCAAATAAAAGCACTTATGTAAATAGTTATTATTTTAAAAAAGTTGTGTCAGAGATTTACATAACTCCGGTATTTGTTCTCGAGTGATTCCCTCTTCTCGAATCCTCTCAAGTTAATCCCGATATTAATATAAAATAAGCCACTCGGTTCTTGTTCCTGAAAGAAAATAAAATAAATCATAAAAAAAAATATGCACAGCCTAACATGATTGTGATTAATATAACCGAGTAGATAGAGACACTTTAGTGGCAACGACCCGACCTTCGATTTACGGCGACCATTATAATAAATAAATTTTCAGATCATTCAATTCAAATCTTTATTCTCATCTCATCTCATCGACTGATATATATTTATGGATTCATAATTACTTAACGTGTAACCGAAATTATTTCAACGTCTCAATTCAATAAATCACCCAATACATCCAATAGTAAGTATAAATTCATTTGAATAAACGGATTCGGTGTGATAGAATAAATTAAATTATTTATCGTAGAAATTTTAGGTGGCTAATTCTTATATTTGGTTTTTTTTGGTAATTCCGCATTAAATATTGTAAACATCAGGTGTTTATCTCGTTTAACAAATGAATCATGAGGTGAGAAGGTTCAGTCATAGTTCCTTGGTAGTTTGTTATTATTATTATTGCTATTGAGATTATTATATATTTTATGAGATACTGGAAAATTACGACTTCGGTGTGGTCTAATGATTTAGTAGGAAATGATCAAATATTTATCTTGTAAAAGTTATACTAAGTACTTATCTGATTATACAATTTTTTTTTGTCACATAAGTCATGTTTTTAAGACCGTAATATTATTTAATTTTTATTTAAATCTTCAAAGTACAGATGTTTTTTTTAATTATGCAAATTTAACGTAAAAATATTCAGTGATATTTATGTGATAGGTCAATAAAAATTTTTTAATAAATAAAAAAAATCATTTAACTTGATTCAATTTTTTTTTTTTTTTTTTTTTTTCATTAAAATAAATCAATTCTGAAGAATTAAATTAATTTTTTTATTAGTGTAAAATTTTGTAGGTATAAATTTCTTTATTTCTTCTTTGAATTATTTTAAAGAGTTTGATTATTTTAAATCTAGCAAAAATTTATTTAACAAGAATTTTTTAGCTTGATTCAAAATTATCAAATTTCTCAAAATTTTTCTTCAATCAAATTAATTTTTTGTCAGTACAAAAATTACATAAAAACACAATTTTAACAGAACTTTATTTTTTTTTTTAATTAAAAAAAAAATAAATAGCTTCCTCTGAAAAATCCTGATTAAAAAATTAAAAGTACTTGCAAACCGAGCGTTTAAAACTCCTATAATTTAACAGCTAAAGAATTAACAACAAAAGTCGACACACAAGGGCGAGGCTTTGGCTTTGGCATAAACATCGACATCGACATCTTTGAATCCTCGTCATGTGTGTAGTGTGTAGTGAGCTCGTCTCTACGGGGACTCGCGAGGAGTATATATGGGCCTTATACGCGTCCGGAATACCACATTCACGATTTTGCCCTACCAAGCAAGGTTGTCCGGACCCTCTTTAATCACGTAGTAACGGAGCCGGCACCTCCGATACTCGGTTGCATTTCTTAAACTACTGCACAACTGTGTTGAGTGATTCTCTGTGATTAGTTGTTTGATGATTTTTTATTTTACATTTCAAGTTATTTTTGTGAGTGATTTTTTCAAAGACATTTTTACCAAGGTATTCATCTAATTTTCTCTTTTATCAATTAATTTTACATTTAATTTTTTATTATAGTTTATTTTATATTCAATGAAGATTATTTATTTAATATTCGAGGGTGATTGAAATCGCCAGGGCCGCCGAGTTATTGAATTTGCGCGCGAGACATGAATTAATCAATCTCCTTTGTGCGCTTTAATCTCATGGAGAATCATCCGCACGTTTTATTTATTATATTGATAGATGATAAGATATATATATATATATATATATTAAAAAATCAAAATATTTACTTAATAATACCTAGTTTTAGTTATCTACTTCCGATTCCCAAGTGGATTATTTTTTAAATGATAACGGAGTTTATAAATGACTCAATAAAAGTTTGCCACGTATTTTTTAATAATATCGATTAATATTTCATGTCTATATTAGTATTATTGGTGTCTTCACTATCACTTTTTTTGGTGCCGCGATTAAATATCCGATGGAAGAATAATAATTTTTTTTTCAAGAAAGAAAAAGTGTTTTTAATACTAAATTCTTTTATTTTTTAGCCAGTTTTTTACGGGAGTAAAAAAATTTTTTTTTAGCCCAATATTTTACTGCAGAAATTTTTTTTTATTTTGTTACAACAAAAATTTTAAGTATTTTTTAAAACAAAAGTAACAATTAATTTAATAAATGTTTTGATGATTTATTCTCACCATAATTTTAACTGAAAATTTTTTGAAGCATACTTCATTTTCTGGAGAATTTTCGACGGTGTAAAAAAATTTTTTTAAGCTAAGTTTTTTTTATTAAATTTTTGTATAAGTAATTTTCAAATTTTTAATTTATGAATCTTATAAACTTTACATTTTAATGAATGTCAATTTTTTTGTACCTACAATATTTTGCACACAAAATCTTTTTATTGCTAACTTCAATTTATAGTATTTATACTTTGTTCGTACATTTCTATCTTCATTCATACCCATCAGTAATTTTGTACATTACACGCATGTTAATTTGCTGATAAAATAAAGAATTTAGAAAATTTGCACGTTCACGCTGATAATTAATTAATAATACTTGTCATCTATAAAACTTCAATTTTTAATAAAAGAATCAAAGAAGAAAAGTTACTTTTCTTCGGTCTGATGATACTACAACCATCACCATGAAATTATCGCGTATAAAAACGTTCTTCGAATCTCTTTACGGTCACAACAATCAAATCATAAATTAAACATAGTTAAATGTTAATTTATCACGCGAATTTTTTTTTGTTGAAGAAAAAATAATTTCCTTATTAGTAAAAAATACATAATGTAAAAAAAATTTCCTTATGGGTAAAAAAATCGAGTAAAAATTATTTTATTAGAAAATTACTAATACTAATTACTAATATTCATCCAATTTAAATATAAACATAAAAATTGTTTGAAAAATTAATTATTATTATTCCTTTGATTAATTACTTAATTTCTACAAAAGAAATTTTTTTTTTTCATCCAAAGATTTGGTTAAATCCAAAAAAAATAATAATAATTAAATTCATAAAAATCAAAGTCTTTCTTATTTTCCTTCTGACTAAAAATTTAATCCCCATATTAATAATAATTACTTAACTAAAAAATTCAATAGAACTAATTTAATAAAAATTATTAACTAGAATATAATTTATTACCTCCAGCAAACTATAACAAAATAAAAGTAAAAAAACCAAAACAAAGAAATGTAAATAAATAAAAAGCAATTTATCACTTAGTCGCCTTAGAATAAAATGAAGAATAAAAATAAAATCAGTTATTGCTCTCTCTTCAGCAGCTTGACAACTTGTCGGTTGAGTTTTATTCTTACACTTAAACTCCTTACCACCAGTTCGTGTTATTTTATCGTGCGTGATTCCAGGTACATTACGAGTTGAGAGTCAACAGAAGAGAGAAAAAGCACTAAGATGCGGATGCAAGTAAAAAAACAATAACACGATACAGATACCAGAGTTTAATAAAATAATAAAAAAAAAATTTTTTACTACATCCACTATAAACATATATTAAGATATATGTAAGATAAAACTCATTTGCAAAGCCATATACGCTGATAATATTCTTTCTTCCGAATGCAAGGAAAAAATTAGCATAATTTCGGACACCCGCGTGCGCGATTGCGACGCATTATTGCATTTAAATAAAAATAAACGAGTTTCTTTATTATTACTTTAAAAATAATGACCACGAATAAAAAATAGGTTTATCCGTATGTTAATTAGATAATGTGGATTTATGTAAATTAGCGAGCAGATCAGCGATGGGCTGGGCAATCCGCAGATCGGCCTTGCTGAGGCTGACTTTGAGTCTGTCGACCTTGACTTTAGTGGCATCCTATCACCTGCCAGACTACCGGCTATTGCCTCCACTGCAGAAGCACATTCCACCCTCGGATGCTCCAACGTTTCAGAGAAATTCTGTCGAAGGCCTTCCCCTAGCCTTGGGATCCTCCAACATCAACAATGAACTTGAATTTGGATCTATTAGTTTGCCGCTCCGCGAAGCAGTGGAGACGTCTCCGCGATTCCGCGATGCCGGCGGGATGAAATCCACGGCTTCTCAAGGAAACCTTGAGCGGTTTGTATTTATTGACTCTGTTTATTTTTATTGTGGTAAATTGGTATGCTAAGTACTAAGTAGCGAAACTCTACGTAACAATTGTAAATAAATTGGATATGGTAGAAAAATTGAAATAAACTGTTGTACATAGATTAACTCAGGGAACACTGCAGCGAGAAGCTGTAGAAAGACGGCCGCCTCCTCCTCTGGGAACGAATCTTGTTGAGCACGAGTCTATCTGGCTTGAACAGCTCTCGCCGCCAATTATTAGGCGTAATCAAGGCCCCCCGAAAGTTATTTGCTACTATAATGCCGATGCTGTCTATCGTGATGATCCATTCGCGTTGCATCCTCAGGAGATTCCTGCTAGACATTGTACTCATTTGATTTACAATGCTGCGGCTATAGGTAATGTCATAAATACATTAATCTTTAATCAATTAAATCCTTAAACGTTTTATACTTTATTTGTAAATTATGAAAAAATAATCGGGTTGAAAAAAATTTATTGACACAAAAAAATATATTTTTGATAATTATTTAAAAAATATTTGCTTGTCTGGAGAAATGATCGAATTGATTAAAATACTCGAAAAAAATTAACCTGATTCAAGAGAAGAATTTTTTAACCAATAGATCTTTGTCTAAAGAATAATGTTCCTTTGTCTAAATGTACATGAGATTGTATTAATTGATCAAATTAATTTTTTAACAATTTAAGAGTAATTATTATTGCTTTTTTACTTGTACACCTTTTCGATTCTTACAAGGCTGATCTTCCTCTTTCTCCTAGCTAAAGAGTAATTATTATTTAAAGTCACTTTATCGATGACTTTTTTCAAAAGTTTTTTTTCTTAATCCTACAAATTTACCTTAAATGATGATGATGATGAGCTGTTTTTTTTTTTTTTTTAAACAAAATTATATGAAGTAAGACATGTTATCCATGAGAGTAATTGGTCACTTTAAAATGAGAATTACCCATGAAGTTAAATAAAAATTATTGTACATGCAAGGATTTCTTGGTTTGAGAATATCTTGAGGTAAATCATTTAAATTTATTAATTTCTTGACAAAAGAATATTCCCTGTTTAAAAATATTGATTGAAAATAATTAAACGAATTACAAACGATGAAATTCAAAATCTTTTCAATAATTTCAATTTTTTTGTTTACATGTATAGATATACAGATTGCATGGAGTGACCGTTTCTCAATTTTTTTCAATCAGTATTCTTAATCAGGGTTAATCTACTTTCTTTATGATAGGTAAACATATAAATAGCTTTTTATTGTGAAACCATCATTATACCTTACAAGGAAATTGAACATATTAATGTTTCATACTGCAAAAACTATAATAGTAGCCTTATAAATCACTAATATCACATTATCACATAATAGAAGTATTTTTAAATATAACAAAATTCGATGATGTTTATTCAAATATTTTATAGCATTGCATACTAATTGTAAATTATTTATAATTTTTTTATACAAGTAAAATAATAAATTTAAATACATAATTCAACAAGAAATTTCAACTTCATCGCCGTGTAATGTTATTAAATAAAATACAAAAATAAATAAAGGGCTTGTAGGGATTTTTTCTTAGAATTTGTAAGGATTATTTTTTTCAGCAGAATAAATTTATTGCAATTGTATGACAGGCGTTTTATTAATAAATAAGCATTAAAATTACACCACGTCGTAAATTTTCAATACGAATACTAACTGGCAATATAGGCCCAGGGGAATGGGATTTAAATTTATGGTAAGAGAATGGAAGTGTAAGTTAAAGAAAATAAAATAAAGAGTCGCGATTTTTTATGTATTCTATCAAATTACTTAATATATTTAGTATTATTATTATTATTATTATTATTATTTAATATAAAATATCTAATAAATAAATTTATATTTAAATTTGAATAAAATAACTTTTTTGTACAGATTCAAATACATATACCATAAAACCACGTGACCCAGAATACAACGTAGAAAGAGGTAAGCCCTTTAAAAATACACTGAAAAAAAATTTAACTTGAATCAAGATGAAAATTTTTGAACCAAGAAAATAATTTTGAAGAGTTTCACTGTTTTGAATCAAGACAAAAAAATTTTTTAATCAAGTAAAATTTAATTAAGCCAAAAAAATTTCTTAGTTTAAGAATTTTTTTACTCAACTCAAAAAGATAAAATTCTTCAAAATTATTTACTTGATTCAAGTAAATTTTATTTTCTGTGTATAAAAGCCTCAATCACAAATTCTAAATAAATATACTGAAATAACCAGGTGGATACAAAGCAGTAATAGGATTGCGTGAAAAGAACCCATCGCTCGAAATCCTGACATCGATAACATCATCAAACCACACAAAAGCTTACAACGAGCTGATAAACTGCAACCGCTGCAGCCAGCAGTTCATTCAATCCACCCTCAAGTTCCTCGAAGAGAACAAATTCGACGGCGTGCAGATAGAATGGCGATTGGCCTCAAATTACCAATTAAAATCATTACTACGGTCGCTCTACACCTCACTGTCTTCCCGAGGCTACACCCTTGCCGTAGTATTGCGACCACACGATTTGGTGGACCCAGAGCTAGCAGAAAATTTAGACTTAATAATCCTGAGACCCTGGCACCTGAATTACCAGAAGGCCTCCCACCTCGCATCTCTCCGTTCTCTGTCATCATTTTCGCAGCGATGGCTAGAAGCAGACGTCAGTCCGCAGAAAATAATCATCGACCTGCCGCTGTTTGGCAAAAGCTACACCTTGAAGTACAAAAACTCAAGCGAAGTTTCTTCTCCCAGCCTGGGGCCAGGAATCGAAGGCTCTTACACGAAACAACGCGGAATTATGTCCTACTATGAGATCTGCAGTAAATTGGAGGGCCTTTGGGACCACGGAAGGGATAGAGACGGACCTTACATAAATTTCGGCGACCAATGGGTCGCGTATGACGACCCCATTTCAATAAAAATCAAAGTCGCTTACATCAAGTCCACGAATCTTGGCGGTGTTTCGCTGAGCTCGCTGGACTTTGATGATTTTGTAGGAATTTGTGGGGATCCCTGGCCGATATTGAAAGTCGCCGCCAGAGGTCTCGGCTTGTATGACTCTCCGGTTGACAAATGCAATATGGAAGAGACCTACAGCGACAGGGAGAACTGCGCGGGATTTTTCGTTTGCGAGCAGGGAAATCTTTACCACGGACAGTGCAAAGACGACCAGTTCTTTGATTCTAGAGAGAAAAGGTGTGTTAAGGCAGATCCTGAGATGTGTAATCCTGGACACTTAGGACGGTACACGGAGCAGGTGGATTATTTAGCAGCCTTGAAGGAAAGACAGCGCAGTCAGCAGCTAAGACTGCAGAGAGGATCAGGACCTAGAGTTGTTTGTTATGTCACATCCTGGGCGTTGTACAGGAAGGATGAAGGGACATTCGTGCCGGAACATTTGGACACTAGGTTGTGCACTGACGTTATTTATGCCTTTGCGGGGTTGAATCCTGATACTTTGCTCTTACAGCCGTTTGATCCTTGGGCAGATATTGAACATGGTAATTTTATTTTATTTTTAATTATTTTTAAACTAAATAATTTTATTTTTCTTAATTACACTGATAAAAAGATTTATTTGTATCAAAAAATAATTGTTAATAGTTAACATATCATTTATTAGAGACCACTTTTTAGTATTAAACAAATATTAGTATTTAAAATGATTTTTTTGTATTTAATAAATCTGATATTCAATTATTGAATATTAATAAATCTTTTTAAATACTAAGAAATATTTGTTAAGGACTAAAAAGCGGTCTCTAATAAATGATTTGTTAAATATTAACAAATTTTTTTAACTATGAACAAATCCTTATATTGGTGTAATTATTCCAAGATGAAATAATGAGTATAAAATATAATTTTTTTTTTTTTTTAAAGGTCTTTATGAGAGAATTACTTCGTCAAGAGACTCAAGAGTTTTGCTGGCAATTGGGGGCTGGACTGATAGTACTGGAGATAAATACTCGCGTTTGGTCAGCAGTGAAAGCTCGAGGAAGAAATTTATTGAAAGCGCGATAAATTTCTTGCATGCTCACAATTTTGACGGACTTTCCTTCGAATGGAACTACCCGAAATGTTGGCAGAGCGACTGCAAAAAAGGCCCAGATTCGGACCGTCCAAATTTCACCAAGTTTATTAAAGAAATGAGCCGTGCTTTTAATACAGCGACGCCTTCTTTGAAGTTAGCAGTCACTCTTTCAGGGTACAAAGAAGTTATAGATAGAGCTTATGATGTTCAAGAGATTTCAGAAGCTGCGGACTTCATTTCTGTTATGACTTATGACTACCACGGGGCCTGGGAATCCAAAACTGGTCATCTGGCTCCACTGTACGCTCACCCGCAAGATGATTATCCTTATTACAATATTGTGAGTAAATATTGTTTTTATTTAGACATTAAATTAAATATGTACATAAAATCTGAGCAAAGTTGTGTTGAAAAAAGAGAGATAGAGATAATTTTTGAAAGTTATTTATTAATTCCTATCATCACATGTCTTGAATTTCTACTTTCAATTATGCAAAATATTCTGTATGGTAATTCTTCTCATTGACGAAAATTTTTTTAATTAAGAATTTATGGAGCTCGTCGAAAATTTAATGTAATTATGAATAATTCTACCAACAGTACTATATAAAGAGATGAATCTGTGAAATTTTATAATTTTTATCTTTATATGCTCACAAGTAATTAGAAAAATATTTTCATGAAGTTTTAAAAATTATTTCGACGTTCTAATTAGCAAATTGTCTATTTTAGAGAATCTTCCATTTGTACGAAAAAACAATTAGTTCAAAATTTATTATCACTTTAAAAAATCATTTAATATCATTAATATGTAATAGAGGTATAATATTTTTTTTGGATCATTTAAATAATTTATAATTGGACTATTGTTACATCAAAATGTTAAAAAATCACCCTCTAAAAAATAAGGAGAGACCAATTGCTAATTAGACCGTCGATTTTCAATCTACTCATCAATAAATGAAAGTTAGAAATTAGAAATTTTTCTTTACAATGTCTATTTGAAGATAAAATCCATAAATTGGAAATTTTTTATTAATATGATTTTCCTCAGATAAAAATTATAAATCCGAAGTTTTTTCTTATTAATCTTATCAACAAATGAAAATTGAAATTTTTTTCTTACTAATATACTTATCAGCATATCAAAGAATAAATTTGTAGAATTCTGAAAATTTTCCTTGTATAATAATTAATTTAAATGTTTTTCTTTTTTTGGATATCAATATTATTTAAAATAAAATTGATAATAAACTTTTTCTCTTTACATGATCTTTAATGAATTTTTATTTTTTTCTTAGAACTGGACAGTTAATTATTTAATTGCCAAAGGGATCCAAAAATCAAAATTAGTAGTCGGAATTCCATTCTACGGTCAAGCGTACCGTCTTTCCCAGCCAGAACGTTCTAATCTAGGCGACCCCGCGACAGGACCTGGAACGCCTGGAGAATTTACAGGTCAGCCTGGCATGCTGGGATACTACGAAATTTGCGAAAGGATAAAATACCGCGGATGGAAAACTGGCTCTGGTCCTAGCGCTTATTTCCACGACCAATTCGTAGCTTATGATGACGTGAAAAGTGTCGCAGAAAAAGGAGCCTGGATAAAAGACAACGGGTTTGGCGGTGCAATGGCATGGACTGTTGATCTCGACGATTTTCTCAACAAGTGCTGCAAAGAACCCTTCCCTCTGTTGCGCAGTTTGAATCGTGCTCTGGGTAAATTAAGATTTTATTACTTTAATTATTATCGCGGTCCTGTTATAGCGTTATGTATTACGTAAATTGTTAACCGTAATATATATTATGTCTAGGACGGCTTCTGGATCCGACACCACAAGGAGAAAACTGTCAGCGACCCTCTGAGCCAGTAACTCCGCCGCCGCCCACGCTGACGACTCACAGCGATGCAAATGACGGTGTTCCGCGGCCTACGCGTCCAGGTTCTACTTCAACTACAAAATCTACTACATGGCCTACTTGGACCGAAAAGACAACGAAAAAACCTAGTTCTACTACTGTTAATTGGCAAACTTGGACTTGGAGTACTTGGTACCCTACATCTTCTACGACCACTTCTACAACAATAAAGTAATATAAATATTAAATAATTATTTCTATCAATTCTGTGATACAAATGTGATAAAAAAAAAAAAAAAAAAAAAAAAAAAAAAATAAATAAACTTGAATCAATCACCGAAAGAAGAAAACTCTGATGAAAACTGAAAAAATTACAATTTCATATTGTAATTTTTACAGATTTCATAAGAATTACATTGTAGAATGTAATATTTACATTGAAAGCTCTGAAAATTAAATTCAAAAATTAAATTTAAAAAATGTTATTTCGAACTGTAATTTTTCTAGTTTTTATTACAACGGGACCGATTTTACATTTTATGCTGTAATTATTCCTGTTTTCTTTTTTCCGTAAAGAGAAAAATTTTTGAACGAAGAAAATAATATCGAAGAGTTTCATTGTTTTGGATCAAGACGAAAAATTTTTGAATCAAATAAAATTTACTTAAGCCAAGAAAAATTTCTTCGTCTAAGAATTTTTTTACTTAAATCAGGAAGATGAACTTGGTTAAAAATTATTTACTTGATTCAAGTTAACTTTTTTTCTGTATGTTTATTATATCTTAAAAAATGTAATATATTTGATATTTTGTTAAATTTCATTGAAAATTTCATAAAAAACAAGCATATTTTTTTACCTTCTGTTACTTGCGCAATTGAGGGAATTCCCGAATGTTAATTTTTATTTAAAATATTTAAAAACTATCGGAATTATTATTGCTAATTATTGAAGAATTACTTTATTATGAATCTAAAAATATTTTTAGACCTCAACTTTTCATTTATTTAGATTTTAAATTATAATTTCACGAGAAATTATAAATTTTTTCCGCTAGCGCGTATACATCTTGATAAATTTTACTTGCAATTTATCAATATTTATAATAAATTTTCAACTATTTTTATTGTTTAACAATAAAAATTTTAATGAAACTAAAAAATTTTTCAAACATTAAATTAAACTCTAAGAAAATAATATATTTTACAGTTAATTAAAATTTCATAAAATAATAAACTGTAAATTAAAAATGTATTTGGCAACAATCTCGAGCTAAAAGTATTGCAGCGACTCTTTGCGACGCGTTTAACGATTCTAGGATTATTAACAAGTGTAGCTAAAGGTTATGAGAAATTTTCTCTTTTATAAGATAAAAATGATCAAGGTTAATTATTAATTATTTTATTATTTAATTACTACATCTTGTTTTTTATTTTCATTCGTTTATTTTATAGGAATTTTAAATTTATTTATCATTTATTTCCAGAGCACCGGCGTGGACTGAATGGACGACCCAAAAACCAACAACTCAAAAACTGACAACCCAGTCAGTTTCAACAGGATCATCTTCCACCGGAAACTCCTGTAATTCAGGAGAATATGTTCCTGATCCCAACGATTGTAATCTGTACTTCCGATGCGTCCTTGGAGAATTCAGACGTGGAAGTTGTACGCTGGGATTACATTGGGACAGTGCTCACAATCGCTGTGACTGGCCTGCTACTGCCAGGTGTCACCAAGGAGGTATTTAATTAATATAATTTTTTTTTTTTTTTTTTTTTATTAAAATACATCCACAAAATGAATAAAAATGAATTTTTAATAGAATTAAAAAAATGATGATTCAATTGAAGATTCATTAAGTTGAAAAAAAAAATTAATGAAAATTGATGAGTACTTTTTTCTTATAATTTGTAATTAAAAGTGTTAAATAAATAATTTATCTATTAATTAATAGCTATGAAGTTAGCAAGTTGACAGAAATTAATTCCGTGATTAAAAAGCAAATTTAAATATAATCGGATTCTGTAATTACTCAGACTGTTTATTATTTATGTATTAAATAATTCTTTGAGCAATAAACTGAATGTGGAATTTTAAAATATGTATGCAATATTTAATATATATTGTAACTGTAAAAACTAGTTGTTCATTTAAATTGTCACTGGTGAATTAAGCGGAATAATGTTAGACTTTTCTTCTTACGCTTCTTCAGTTTTTTTTAACTATACTCATACTTTACAAGTGTCGCATAGTCGTAGCTGTAGTCACAGAGTGCTATTGTCTTCTATTATATTATATTCGCCGGTACGAAGTAGTATAGAGTAGACGTTTACTTTAAATATAAACGGTATTTTCTGTATTTCTTCTTACTTTTGTCAAGTGTTTAATTTAAACGAGTGGTTTTTAAGTGAACTCAATGTGCCATGTACATCTACGGCATTGTATTTACTGTCCTATTTATTTTGTCATCTTCTTTATTAGCATTTAAAAAGAATAATTTAAACTCTCTCACAATATTTGACGATAAAAATTTTAAGAATGTGTTTCTAGGTATTGTCATTTTTTTTAATTATAGTTTTTATTATTTTTATTTTGCTAAATCAATTTTTAATATTTTATTATCTGCAATTTCAACAAATATTATCTATGATCGGTATAAAAATATTTTTAATATTAATTTATTTTTCATGTAAAGCCTAAAAATAATTAGATGTTTGCTAATTATTGTACTGTAATATTTAAAATAATTTTTTGCAGTTAATCAAAATGTCGACAAACCTTGGACCCAAAAACCGGTGCAAAGACCAATCACAACTACTACAACGACCACAAAGGGTCCAACAACAATTACTACAACAACAACAACAACGACAGGCAAACCTTGTTCACATGGACAATATTACGCCGTACCTGATTCGTGTACGCAATTTTTAATCTGCGTTAATGACAACCTCGTGAAACAGCAATGTGGTCCCGGTCTTAATTGGAACGATGCGAAAAAAATGTGCGACTGGGCTTTTATGAATCCTTGTAAAGATACGCCGAAAAAAACTTCGGCTCTGATGATGAAGGAAATGGATTCTATGAATGTAAGTCATGATTTATAATTATATCATTAGCTCTTTAGTTGTTTTATTTAGAAAAAAAAAGTATCTGTAATATTTCTAAAACTATTTTTTTTGACATTTTTACAATTTTTTTTAGTCTAAATAAAAAATATAATACAGTTTATTATATGATTGTAATTTAAAAATGAAGTGTCGGGTTGGACATGCTGAGGTCCAATATGAGAGATAGAAAAAGCGTAGAGCTAGAAGAAAAAGAGGAATCAGCCTTGTAAAAACCGAGAGGTGTACAAGTAAAGCAATAAATAATAATATATGATTGTAATTTATTATATTTCTTCTTTTTAATACCAAAAGATAATATAAAGAAAATTATTTTCTAACTTTCTGCGTCAGAAATTGAAAGTTTTAAAGTTCTGGATATGAAAATTAAAAAAAAAAAAAAACTCTTGAGATGCCAAAATATTGAAATTTTATAGAAGAAAGCTTTAATTTTAAAGTCTAACTAAATTCAATATTTTCTCGAATTTTTAATTTGTTTTAGCAAAAAATTCTGGTCATTATTTACAAGTGGGGTCAACCCCATTTTGCCCATTGTGCCTTAAGGCAAAAAAGCTATCGAAATCTTTCCTTTCACGAAATTTTTTATCATAAATGCGCCGTAAAAACAATCAAAATCAAAAAAAAAATTTTTAAATGTTAATTTTTCACTTAGTTATGGCCCAAAATGATTGTAACCCTACTTTACACATTATTTGTATTAATTTAAAATTAATAACCATTAAAAAATTCGTAAGAATTTGAAGATTAAAAATAGCTATTTATCAAATAAACTTAAAAAAAAAAAATCTTTCAGGAACCTTGTACTTCAGGAAGTTACAGCGGTGTTCCTGGGGATTGTAAGAGTTACCACGCATGTTTATGGGGTCGCCATGAAAAATTCGCATGTGCTCCAGGTCTACACTTCAACAGAGAATCCAACATATGTGACTGGCCACACCGAGCTAACTGCGAAGAAAATGTTGCAACAAGCCAAAATGAAATAACTACCACCACCATGAAATCAACGTACAAGCCTACTACTCAGCATTGGTGGACTGTTTCTTCTTCTCCTTCAACAACGACAACTACACAGACTCCTTGGACACCACCACCAACAACAACAACAACAACAACAACAACAACAACAAGTCCAAAACCGCTTCCATCTGCAGAAATAGATCCAACAAAAGTATCTCCACTCTCTGGATACTTCAAAGTAGTCTGCTACTTCACAAATTGGGCATGGTACCGCCGAGGAATCGGAAAATACCTGCCGGAACACATCGATCATACATTATGTACTCACATTATTTATGGATTCGCAGTACTCGATTATTCCGAGCTGACCATCCGCGCGCATGACTCATGGGCAGATTATGATAATCGTAAGTTTGATTAATTACCGCTACTAGTCACGGTCAAGTCCAATTAATAATTAATCAATTATTCATTTTTTGTAACTCAAGCTCAATCAAACAATACATATATTAATTTTTCTTTATAAATTCCAGGATTTTACGAACGTGTGGTAGCTTACAAAAAACGCGGCGTTAAAGTGTCTCTGGCCCTCGGAGGCTGGAACGATTCCGCGGGTGACAAGTACAGTCGCTTGGTTAATTCACCGTCTTCTAGGCGCAAGTTTATTGAGCATACAATTAAATTTATCGAGAAGTACAACTTCGATGGGCTGGACCTCGACTGGGAGTACCCAGTTTGCTGGCAAGTCGACTGCAGCAAAGGACCCAAGTCCGACAAAGAAGGTTTCGCGGCTTTGTTACGCGAGCTGAGCGCTGAGTTCAAACCCCGCGGGTGGTTGTTGTCCTCCGCAGTGTCTCCCAGCAAAACGGTTATTGACAAAGGGTATGATGTACCCGCTTTGAATAAATACCTCGACTGGATCGCGGTTATGGCTTATGATTACCACGGACAGTGGGACAAGAAAACGGGGCACGTTGCGCCTCTTTATTATCATGATCAAGATGAGGTGTTCTTCTTTAATGGTAATTACACGATTAATTACTGGATCGCTAAAGGCGCGTCGCCGAGGAAAATTATTATGGGTAATTTATTTATTTATTAAATCGCTTGATCATTCACTTATAGAAGAATTTGTTAATGTTTAATAGGCTTTATTAATTGTTAATAAATTGTTTTTAATATTAGATGATTTATTGAATATTCACAAACAGTTAACTTGAATAAAAAGTAGGCAAAAAATTCTACTTTTACACTTTTTAAGACTCCATATCTTCAATAAAAAATTCAATTTGATCTGGTACATTAATAGTTTTTTTGATAAAAAAAAAAGGAAAAAATAGAAGAAATAAAATTAATAATAAATTAATGGCTGTAATAAGTAACAGGAATTTTTTTTAAAGTTGAAAATGATTGGTGAATTGTATCTTTATTATTTTGTTTATGAATGATAATTATATTTCACTCTAAACAAGGAAAATTAACTCTAAAAATTTATTAACTGTTAATAAATATTTAATAATTGTTATTAAATATTTATTTATTGTTAATAAATGTACTCTTATCCCAAAAAAAATTTTATTACGTTTAATAAATGGATAAAATGTTTTTAAACAAATAAAATAATCAATAGTTAATGAATTCTTCTGTAAGTGTTTAATTGTTTGATTGTAAGTCGAAAAAAAAATCAAATCATCAATGAACTTTTGGAATTTAGGAATGCCATTATACGGTCAATCATTTTCAATCCACGATCCGAAAGCTGGAACTGGACTAAACTCCCCAGCAAGTGCTGGAGTAGCTGGTGAATTCACTCAAGCCGCTGGATTCTTGGCTTACTACGAAATCTGCGACCGAATTCGTAATCGCGGGTGGAAAATCTTCCAGGACCCGGAACGCCGTATGGGACCTTACGCGTACAAGGGTAACCAATGGGTAAGTTTCGATGACTCTGATATGATTCGCCAAAAGGCGCAATTTGTTAGAGACATGAATCTTGGGGGTGGAATGGTCTGGGCGCTGGATCTTGATGATTTCCGAGGAAGATGCGGTGAAGGTCGACATCCGCTGATGCAAACTTTGCAACTTGTTTTGTCTGAGCCTCCTAATAAACATGATCATCGTAAGTATTATTCTAAGGTAATAATACTTGGTAATTTATTATTTTTTTAATGAAGAAATAAATTTTTCAGCCATAAAACCTCCAGCAGTTGGTCAAGAATTAGATTGGAATAATCCTAGCAAGCCTACTGAATCCATGACACCTCATCATATGAATAATCATAATAACAACAATAATAATCACAATCATAATAACAACAACAACAACAATAATCACAATCATAACAACAACAACAACAACAATAATCACAATCATAATAACAATAATCACAATAACAACAATCATAATAATAATAATAATCACAACAATAACAATAATCAAAATAATAATAATGATCATCATAATCATGGTAATGATGATAGCCATGGTATGAAACATGGACCTGAAGAATTCAAAGTTGTATGTTACTTCACAAACTGGGCATGGTACCGTCAAGAAGGTGGCAAATTTTTACCTGAAAATATTGACAGTGATTTGTGTACTCACGTCATCTATGGATTTGCTGTGTTAGATGGCACTTCATTAACTATTAAACCTCATGATTCTTGGGCAGATATTGACAACAGTAAGAAATTTTTTCTTAAAAAAAAAGCATTAGCAGAATTTATTTTTTATAAAATATTTTAACTTAGCTGAAAGTTGATTTACTCATTAATTAATTAATTGGGAAAATATTTTTGTTTATTTAATTGATGTTCTAACTTAAACGTTGCTTATTATAACTTTACCTTACACACTTAATTACTTTAAAAATAAAAAATAAAAAATTTTTTTACAGAATTTTATGAGCGAGTAGTAGCTCTAAAAGCCAAAGGAATAAAAGTTCTTATAGCAATTGGAGGATGGAACGATTCAGCAGGCGATAAATACAGTCGTTTAGTTAACTCTCCATCTTCAAGAACAAGATTTATCACCCACGTAACGCAGTTCATTGAGAAGTATAGCTTCGATGGTCTTGATTTAGATTGGGAGTATCCAGTTTGTTGGCAGGTATATCAATAATAAAATAAATAAATAATAAAACTAGTTTTATTCTTAAACTAAAAAACTTAAATTTTTAGGTTGATTGTACAAAAGGTCCAGCTTCAGACAAAGAAAGTTTCACAGCATTAGTAAAAGAACTTAGCGATACATTCAAGCCCAAGGGTCTATTGCTATCATCAGCAGTATCTCCCAGCAAGCGAGTGATCGGTCACGGCTACGACGTAGCTGCTCTCGCAAAATACTTGGACTGGATTTCCGTAATGACCTACGACTTCCACGGACAGTGGGACAAGAAAACAGGACATGTTGCTCCATTGTATGTGCGTCCAGACGACTGGGAGATGACTTTCAACGCAAACTTCTCAATTCATTACTGGATGGAGCAAGGGGCGCCAGCGAAGAAGCTTGTCATGGGAGCTCCGCTTTATGGACAGTCTTTCAGCCTCGCTGAAAGGAACCAACATGACTTGAATGCTCCAACTTATGGAGGTGGAGAAGCCGGGGACTCGACTCGCGCTCGTGGATTTTTGGCTTACTATGAAGTATATTTAATTTTAATTTTAATTAATTAATTTGGAAGTTTTGTAGAAATTTCTGAGTGAAATTTGGTTGGAATTTTATTTAGATTTGCGAAAGAACATTGAAGAGGGGTTGGACCGTCGTGCAAGATCCAGAGCGACGTATTGGGCCCTACGCATACCAGGGCGACCAGTGGGTCAGTTTTGACGACGCGGAACAGATAAGACTCAAGTCGGAATTCATCAAAAAGCTTGGACTTGGTGGTGGAATGATTTGGGCTCTAGATCTTGATGATTTTGAAAACCGATGTGGTTGCGAAGCCAGTCCGCTGTTGAAGACCATGAATCGTGTGTTGAGAAACTATCCGGCTGGTCCTACTTGCAAAGTTACAGGTATTTAATATTCTTTTTATTTTATTTTAATTTTAAAACATTAAATTTCATTTTTGAAATTCAACAGGGTCAAAAGCTCCTGAAGTAGCACCAATAAGTTCAACTGAGCCGATCAGCCAGAAGCCGTCTTGGGAACAAACAACATCTTGGGACAAATGGACGGTTTCGACAACCCACAAGCCCATGCCAATAGACCCAGATGACTCTATAGAAGTTATCGCTGGAGCTCCACCTCCGACGATGCTGCCGATAGGAGAATGTGATGATAAACAGTTTATTCCTCATGCTGAAGACTGTTCCAAGTATGTGTTGTGTAACTTTGGACAGTTGTCGGAGATGACTTGTCCTTCAGGTTTGCATTGGAACAAAGATCACTGTGATTGGCCTGAGAATGCTCAGTGTAAAAAAAAAGCTGAGAAAATTGAAGAGGTAATTTTTTATTTATATACCTAATTAAGAAATTACCTTGTATCTTGTGAAATATTGACATTTTTCAAGATATAAGCTCACGCCGACATTATACTCATCGAGACCTTTTATTTGAATACCCACATCAATTTTTCATATATTTTATATATTTATATATATTATATATATGTATATATGAAAAATATATAAAAAATGCCATGTGGGTACTCAAATGAAAGGTCTCGATGAGTGTAACATCAAAATGAGTTTATATCTTAAAAAATGTCAATAATTGAGAAATGATTTTGTATCTTGTGAATTATTAACATTTTTAAAGATATAAGTTTATCCCAATGTTACACTCATCGAGAGCTTTCATTTAAGTACCCACATCAATTTTTCATATATTTATATATTTATATATTTTATATATATA